ACGGGTTTACAGGACGACCAGGTAAGCCAATTAGCCAACTCTCCTGACCCGTTTGTCTGCGCCAACTGCTTCTACATTAGGGATACAATGCATAGTGCAGCTAAGAGGGCCACAAAAAACGAAACCCAATCCCCATTGCTGAATCAGAAAGACCGATGTAAGTGTTCCGCTTTGATCGGGATACTCGACGCGAAACTGGAACTTCTTTCTAAAGCGCTGCAGGATAAAAACACAAAGAACACAGCGACCTGGACGAAAGTTCATAACTTTCTTCGCTGAACGAGTACCTCGCGCTGTCCATCCCTGGTCCGCAGGCGGCGAGGAAAGTCATCTAGCTCTCTGAAGCGGCAATAAAGACCGCCACGGTGTCTATAGTGAACAGACGCTTAAGGGAGATCAGAATGATCATTTGCGGGTAATTCTTCATAAATCACGCCAACGAAGCTGGCACAGTCAGTCTTCGGTAATGTCCTCGCTAAGCCTGATCACCAATCGCTTCACGTAATGGTTACGCCAGAAGGAAGCAAGCGAACACTTGGGCTTCTAGTGGCCTTTCCCTCCCCATCTGCCGTACAGATCTTGGAGCGAGCTGTCAGCATTCCAAAGGCCTACCCAATGATCAGGCGTTTATCTAAGGATCGTCATCTAGAGTTGCGAAAGCTGGGTCACAGCAGTTTTAGGGTAAAGGCACGAAACAGGCTGCTGCTTGGCGCCAGTTCAGCCGACCCCGAACTCATGACCAGACCGGTTGTAGCCATATCCCCTGTGCTCCTGAAAGCACGCCGACGCAACCGGCTGCGTCTCCGGATAGCAGTTTCTACTCAACCACCACAGACCCCTCGACTCACAAAGGCAGTGATGCTCTGGAGGAGGCAAGTCCCACAGGGAAGCAGCGCCCAAAGTACGTAGAGCTATCAGTGCTTCTCTCTGTAACAGACAAAGGTGCAGCAGTGAACTCCTCACCAAAATCACAGCTTCTGGGCTGGATTGAGTCAGATGTGCGGGGACAAGCAGCGAAGCCCATCGACAAATTAACCACATGCGTTGACCTCGACGTTGGGGAACGCTGCGACAACTGTACGAACACCGAGAATGTAAAACTACCAATATCCAGCTCCACTCCGTCAAAAGTGGACTCTGGTCGTGGACCCCGACAGCCGAAGCCACAAGCCAGACCACAACGAACTGAAAAATCCCTCGTATACCCAATTGGCCATGTTGGTCGCCGGAGGATCGGGTGTCCACACAAACACGAAAAAAGGCGGCTGCAGACAAACAAGCCACATAAGATTCGCCAAATCAGAAAGCTGCCGGTTGGCTTCAAGGTACAGTCCTCTGCGAAAACGAGCCTCATGGGAGCGCCACCAAAAGGATTAATTCCTAGTGCCGCCACCCAGTGCGCCGGGCCTCACAGAGACACCTTTCCGATCAAACCGCACCTAAACGCCCAAGAAACCATAAAACCGAAAGTTTTCCCCAGATCTTCCATCAACAGCAAATCTGGTCGTCCAAAAGGTGGTGTTGAACGAGCTAGTAGAAGCGGTCGAAATTTCCACCCACAAGGAAAAAAATACGTCCTCCAAAGGTAAAAGACCTATGCGAACCGGGGTCCCACAGGGCAAAAAAAACTGCAAATGAAAAGTAGCCATCGAAACTTCCAAGACAGGAAGCAGACAAGTATGCCGCAGAGGCCCTTTCAGAGCTTAACCTCAAGCCCGGCGTACAGCTACTAAACCTGCTAACCTCTCCGGTTGCACACCTCTCAGTTGCTCACCTTTTGAGGCCCAAGAGAGTGTTGAAATGCCTGTCCACAAACTGCCTGTCTTTTCAACAAACTTTGAGATACTAAGCAGTCAGTTCGGCCTGAACAGCAGTCCACAACCTCACTCAGAGACCTGGTTCACACCGGATGTCCCTGACGCGAAGATCTCGACAGACGGCTACTCCGTTTTTCGAGCTGACTCAAAACGAGGGAGGGTTGGTGAGATTGCTTTATACTTAGATGCGGCCCCGCCCATCCCGATAGTCCTCTCTGATACCACTCCTGAACTTTTTTGCGTTGCACTGTGGATTCAAACCCCGCTGTTCGGGTATGATTCTCTCCTTCTCGATGTGGTCCACCGTTGCCCCTCGAATCCTCCGGAAGATGAATAGATCCTCATGCAAACCTTTGAGCAACTCATATTCAGGTACTACCTATCTGTTGCTGGTAGGCGATTCCAACGCTCCAAAGGCCTCCTGGAAGGAGGTCTGGCGCGTCGGATCAAGTGTACTACTTGCAGCGGTACTCACCAGAGTCGTTCAATGGAGCGCCTGAACTCAAAATGTCGTCGCATCCATCAGATACCGCAACCAAACAATCGTCCCTCCTACCAACGAAAGACACTTTGTCGACCATCCAGCTGTAAAAAATCATTCAGCTGCAACATCCTTCCGGTGCCTGTCTGCCACGTCACTCGAAGTAAGCACGAGGGCTGGGATACTTCCAGGTTGCTCAAGCCTAGGCAGAGGTGGGGTTCGAACCACGGACCTACCAGTCAGTAAATTATCGCTCTAAACACCAAGCCATCTCGCCCACAACTCTGTCGATTAGGGAATAATTAACGCTTCGCTGGGACATAGTGACCACTGTGTGCTGCTACTGGGCAAGAAATCCCGAACCTCAAACGTGGATTCGAGACTTCTGCCGCGCAGACTTCTCAGAAATGCGTGTCTTTCTTGAACAAATTAAACTGGGACAAGCTTCAGTGGAAGACTTATACAGGACGATTGTCCAGAAAGTTCACGAGGCTGACGTCCCAAAAAACAGCTCTCAGTTGGATGGGCCGCAAGTTACCTAAAAGGATTCGGCGTCTTCTGGAGATACTTCAACTATTTTTCAAAAAGTTGACTACAGGAGACACAAAAAATGAGCTGATATTTCGTAAAATGCACGACCGCTTTAAATCAGAAATCTGCCAATGAAACATGCGAAAACAAGTCACCATTCTAGACCTCGCCCGGAAAATCAAAAGTGCACCGTTTAAATACATGAGACGCGGAAATAAGCCAACAGCGTTCTCCTTGAGGGACAGGAACGGGGAACGCCCGACAACTCATCATCATGATCACCATTCAGTTGTAATGCCCTTTCGGTGCCTAGTTGCCATGCCGCCCGAAGGAAGCACGAAGGCTGGGATACTGCCAGGTTTCCCAAGCCTAGACAGGGGAAGTCGAGAGGAAGAGATCGGTTCGAACCACGGACCATTGAGTCAGTAAATTCGCGCTCTAACCACTGAGCCATCTCGCCCCCAAAAGGAGTTTTCATCATCAATGCCTCGCAGCTACAAACCTCTAGCGT